TCAATAATGGTAAAGTTTTAGAGTCAGTTTCATGGATGTTTAAAACCAATAAATAACATCAATTTCAATTTTTCTAGTTTGATTGTGGATCTCAGTTCCCTGTCCATAGAATCTCCATCCCCAGCCATATTGAAGCCATGCCCAAAATTAAACCTCCCACTTGATGTTTTTGCAGTGTGGTTTAAAAGAAAATGGTCCCCAAAGGGTGTGACAATAATGAGAGGTTTGGCCTTGTTGGGGTAGGTGTAGTTTTGTTAGAGGAAGTGTGGCACTGTGTAGGTAGATTTTGAGGTCTCATATGTGCTCAAGCCACTCCCAGTGAGACAGACCACTACCTGCTACCTGTGAGTCAAGATGTAGCACCTTCAGCTATTTCTCCAGCACCATTTCTGTCTTCATGGCAAGGTGTTACATCATGATGATAATGGAATAAACTTCTGAAAATGGAAGCCAGCCCCAATTAAATGTTTTCTTTTATAAGAGTTGTCATGGTCATGATGTCTCTTCCCAACAATAGAAACCCTAACATTCCACCTTTTTTATAAAGAGAGTCATTACACTTTTTTATTTTTCTAAAAGTCATTTTCCTTAGTATTTATAGAAACTACACTATTAACAATATTGTAAATGTCTTTAAGAGAATCTGAAAGTGTGTTATAATGACATTGATATCACATTCATGACTTGAATAATTGTACTTTTATATTCTTAGATTGCTATCTTGTTTTTGGTAAATAAGCTAGCACTAAGCCAATTAACAGGACAGATTACTAGTTTTATAATAGTATTAAAGGTTGATGTAATCAAGAAACATGGGTTTTCAATATCTGGACACTATTATACTTTCTCAGGCTTTTCTATTGAGTATGAGAAATATATTTTCATTCTTCAAAGTTATCTTTTTATTTAATGCTTGAAGCAAATCACAGTTCATTATTCTTTGCTTTGGGGATTTTCACTTATTAAATCCTTCTAAGCACAGTCCATATTGAGGACATTCGAAATCAATTGTTGTTGTAGAGATAGGCTACCAGCATGCACACTTCCAGAACCATTTACTCACACGGGCATCTGTCTGCTCTCCCCATGTTCACTCATTTGCCTAGTGATATCTCCCCTTTCCTGTTGTTTGCTATTCCTCACCTACTTGGTGATTCCAGAAGCTGGTTTCCTTCTCATAAAGCCTGCCTGGTTTTCCCTCTTTAACATATTTTTTTTCTATTTTCCTATTTCTAAGATCATATATACTTGTACATGTCTTATTGTACCCATTTTAAAATGGGTATTTGTGTGGCTCACATTTCTAAAACTATGCTCAACATATTTGGACTCTCATGCTCAGAATGTACTACAATTTGCACTACAATAAACCTCGAAAAATATATACCTCGTGGGGAAATAACATATAGGATACAGCTATGGGTAAATAACTTGCCTAAAGCTCTCCCGAAACATTGTGCTAGGAAAACCAGGATGTTGAATTCAGGTGGTCCAGTCAGTCATAAAAGCATAAGTTCTGTAGGTGGAACACTTAGTTCTGTTTGTGTTTATCTCTCTGGTCAGATACGAGCTCTGATTTCACCCAGTCTTTTGTAAATGCATCCTACAACACTTTGGGAGTCTCCCATATTCTTCCTTATGTATATATTGATTTAGCATAGTTGCCTCTTTTTTTTCCTCAGAAGATTCTCCTTCATCCTGGTACATAACTTCTTTCGTTTAGATGGGAAACTAGAAGGCGGGTTTTGTTTGCTTTCCATCTCAAGGATTCTTTATATTAATGGTGCTTTGAAATGTGTCTGTATTGCATCTATCTGTAATAACAGCTGTGATAAATCCTTCCCCTTCTAACCCCAGACCTCATTATAATAGGGAACATATGGGCTCTTGAAGAGAACACCAAAGCCTGGCCTTTGAAAGAAGTAACACAATTTGTTTAAATGGTAACAAGTGTTCTTCCTAAGGATCAAGGCAAAGGCGTTCCCTTGATCTGCCAAATTAGGGTCAGTGAATTTCAAATTTACCAAGTACTAGTTGACCTTTCTGACTCTGCCCATCATTAGACTAGGAGCAGAAGGTCATTTTCAATTGTTACACCACAACCAGGTCTATGAGAAGTTGCAATTACTAATCAGATTTGTAAAGATGATTACCGTGTTTAAAAGTTTTAAGTTTCTCACTGTAAACCTTAATGAACACATAAATTTGGAAAATGGGAAACAAGTAATCTTAGCACATTTTACAGCTGCTATTAACGAATTACCATATACTTAGTCATTTTCTTCTTCCTGTAATATGTGGTAGTATGGTTTTATAATATAACTGCAATCATACCTCTTTGTAGATATATATAAAATCATTACTTGAATAATTTCTATTATTTCATATGCATTTATATTTTATACTATAAATATCTTTATGTATTATATTAATCAATATATTTTCAAAACCACACTGTGAGTCAATGATTTCCTATAACCTTGTATTTGTAGATTTTTATACTCTAGTACTCTCAAAGAAATCCCTTTGTGCTCTCCTGTGTTACATGCTGGTGCAGGAAGGAAACAACAGTGCTGGTGCTCCATTCCTCTTGCTCCTTGATTCTAAACCATAGTTCCCCCACTGTGTTTCTCAACTCTTCATTCATGAATGAAGCATGTGTGCTTTATGACAGCACCATCTGGTTCATCTTGATTCTCCCACTTTCCTAAGTTCATTTGAACAAACATCAAATTTCTCATTCAGCCAACACCACTGAATTATTTGACAAAATATCTCAGACATTTTAAATCCCTAAATTCCACTCTCTGGTAACAGTCACAATATGTTTTGCTCTTTTTTGTCCATATACTGCCCCTATATAGCATTTCAACATATATCATTGGCTGGTCTGGAACTGGCTACATATACCAGGCTGGCCTGGAGTTCATAGAGGATCATCTGCCCCTACTTTCAAGTGCTGAGATTAAAAAGCACACACCTCCTTGCCTGGCCTCTATTTGTAGACATACACTGTATTTTTGTATGCATGAATGTGTTGTTGGGGGACAGGGTATGATCAGGTGAGCTCAAGTGCCTGCAGAGCACAGAAGAGGGTATCTGCTACCTTCCCTGGTCCTCTGCAAGAGCAGGAAATGCTCTTAGCTGCTGAACTACCTCCACCGCCCTTCCTTTATGTATGGATGAATCCATTTTTCCTACTACTGTATCCTGTTCTTCACATTTCCAGGTTCTGCTACCTTGCTTCTTTGCTTACAAAGAGAATCCTACACATCTTTCCCTTCTGTATTCCATTTCCACATCTGATGAACAGAGCAAGGGCACAAATGCATCCTGTGGGTTTCAGTCACTCAGTCGCCTATCCCTCAGCTGGACATATTAGTGCTGCTCCAGTGCATGCTCTCCAACTTCAGCCGAACCCATTTTTTTCTTTCATGCATTTATATTAGATGCCCCCCATGCCAAGACTACTTAATTAACTCACTTGCCTATTTCTTCAATGGATTTTTTCAGCCTTTTGTTCTCTTTCAGAGGCATTGCCTCTCATTCATCCAGGACACCTGCACCAGACAGCCCTGCCTCTGGTTTCTTCAGTGAGCAATCATTTCAGAAAGCTGTTCCCTTAAGA